ACACCCAAAAGCCGCAGGATACACATTTTTCTCAATGGCACATGGAACATTTTCCAGAGTAGAACACATACTAGGCCACAAAAAGAACCTCAGTAAATTCAAAAAGAAATTCTACCAACCAACTTCTCAGGCCACAAAGGCATAAAACTAGAAATAAATTGTACAAAGAAAACAAAAAGGATCACAAAAACATGGAGGCTTAACAACATGCTCCTAAATAATCAAATGAACAATGACTAAATTAAAACAGATATCAAGCAATATACAGAGACAAATGACAACAACAACATAGAGCCCCAACTATGGTGGGCCACAGTGAAGGCAATTATAAGAGGAAAGTATATAGCAATCCAGGTCTATTTAAAGAAGGAAGAACAACCCCAAATGAATGGTCTAAAGTCACAATTATTGAAACTGGTAAAAGAAGAACAAATAAGGCCCAAAGTCAGCAGAAGGAGGGACATAATAAAGATCAGAGAAGAAATAAATAAAACTGTGAAGAATAAAACAATAGGAAAAAATCAATAAACCAACAGCTGGTTCTATGAAAAAATAAACAAAATAGATAAGCCCCTAGCCAGACTTATTAAGAGAAAAAGAGAATCTATACACATCAACAGATCAGAAATGAGAAAGAAAAATCATGACAGACCCCGCAGAAATACAAAAAATTATTAGAGAATACTATGAAAATCTATATGCTAACAAGCTGGAAAACCTAGAAGAAATGGACAACTTCCTCGAAAAATACAACCTTCCAAGACTTACCCAAGAAGAAACAGAAAATCTAAACAGATCAATTGCCAGCAAAGAAATTGAATTGGTAATCAAAGAACTACCTAAGAAGAAAACCCCTGGCACAGATGGATTCACTGCTGAATTTTATCAGACATATAGAGAAGACATAATACCCATTCTCCTTAAAGTTTTCCAAAAAATAGAAGAGGAGGGAATACTTCCAAACTCATTCTATGAAGCCAGCATCACTCTAATATTAAAACCAGGCAAAGAAACCACAAAAAAAGAAAATTAAAGACCAATATCCCTGATGAACATAGATGCAATAATATTCAACAAAATATTAGCAAACCGAATTCAAAAATACATCAAGAGGATCATACACCATGACCAAGTAGGATTCATCTCAGGGATGCAAGGATGGTACAACATTATAAAATCCATCAACATCACCCACCGCATCAACAAAAAGGACAAAAACCAGATGATCATTTCCATAGATGCTGAAAAAGCATTCGACAAAATTCAATATCCATTCCTGACAAAAAATCTGAACAAAATGGGTATACAGGGCGAGTACCTCAACATAATAAAGGCTATATATGACAAG